TCTGCTTTGATAAATAGTTTGTCTTGGTTTTAGGAGCGATAAGCCATGTAAAGAAATCTTTGTAGGGGTCTCGGTTTCTCTAGTTTTATCACTGCTGCTGGAGAGGCGCTGACATCATTGCATCTTTATTTCTGCAATTTCATTTGTCTGTGAAAGCTGTAGATCATTAAGTTGTTGGCAAATTAATCCTGATTTCTTGAAAGAGTCTGAAGCTTTGCATCAGGAAAAGAAGAGGGAAGAAATAATGCTGTTTTCTCTCAGAACAAGCCTCTAGTCCAATGTGTGGATTTCAACTCCCAGAATTCCCTAGCCAGCAGGGAATTCTGGGAGTCGAAGTCCACAAATCTTTAGCCCACATTGAGAAACACTGCTATAATTAATGTTCATTTACAGTAAATTTCATATGATGCTATTGTAAATAAATATACCCTAATCAGTTGTTGTTGTTAATTGCGAAGTCGTGTCCGACCCATCGCGACCCCATAGACAACGTTCCTCCAGGCCTTCCTGTCCTCTACCATCTTCTGGAGTCCATTTAAGTTCACGCCTACTGCTTCAGTGACTCCATCCAGCCACCTCATTCTCTGTCGTCCCATTCTTCTATTGCCCTCAATCTTTCCCAGCATTAGGCCCTTCTCCAGTGAGTCCTTCCTTCTCATTAGGTGGCCAAAGTATTTGAGTTTCAACTTCAGGATCTGGCCTTCTAAAGAGCAGTCGGGATTGATCTCTTCTAGGACTGACTGGTTTGAATGCCTTGCAGTCCAGGGGACCCGCAGGAGTTTTCTCCAGCACCATAGTTCAAAGGCCTCAATTCTTTGTTGCTCAGCCTTTCTTATGGTCCAACTTTCACATCCTTTTGGGGTCCTTGTAGCAACTGCTATCTGTTTCCGTCTACACAACAGAATTCTGGCCACAAAAGTTCATTTGCCAAGGATATGAAGAGCAGCTGATTTGGTGGCTTTTGATCACCTCTGCTGTTAACAGAGACTAGTGTCATCCATGAGCTGAAAAAGATCCTAAAATACCAATAAAAGAAAATATTTGTAGCTCAGGATTGAAATTAGGGGTCCTTGGTGATCTCTCAGTTTGGTGGTTTTCTTGCAGACATTTCCTTATCCAAACTAGGTAACGTCATTAGTACAAGGTGTTATCTAGTTTGTGTAATGAAACTTGTGCAAGAAAACAATCAGGATCAGATAGCACTAAGGACCTCTCAGATCCTAAAATCTCATAGAGTTTGAGAGTCCCATCCTGAGACTGAGATCTTATCTAAGAAAAAAAATCTTATTTGAGGAATAAGATTTGGTGATGATGTGAGATTTTATTTTCATGTTTTATTAGGAGGTTGCACTCCCCAGCATATGCAGCAAACCAGTCTATGACCCAATCTCTGGCAATTCTAATCAGTAATTTGACTCCACTGATAAATCTGGTTAGGAGGTCTTTAGATCACCTACTCTATGATGAGAAAATAGAGTTCATTATCTCTATATAACTATATACCTCTAAATAACTTTTGCATTATGAACAAGTAAAGTACCTTTTACCTGGTGTTTAAATTCCAGAAAGGGAAGTTCATGTATTTTATGCACATTTTACTAGCAGGCTTTTTGTTTGTCTCTAAAATTCATTACAGTGAAATGTGTTACACTTGGCACAGTTTGTTTCACAAACAGAGAAGTTGGCATGAAGATTACATCTGTCACCGCTTAAGCCAAACTGTTGCTATGCAAGTATTTTAATTAAGGCAGATACTGCTGAAATATAAACTCCCCTGAAGTGTGGTTTGCACGTTTCTACCACAAGATATCTCTATCTTGCATATGTCTTTTGAGTCTAATATAGTTTATTTTGTTTGGAAATTTATCTTCTGTTCTGTCTTAGCAAAGTTAGAAGCTGGACTGTTGGTGAGGACGTGGTCTTTTCCCTAACCATCCATGTTTAAATAATTCAGGGAACATTTCATGGGAACAAACTGTTTTAAAAATTCATCCTGTTGGTGCCTTGGTAAACAATTTTGTGTTCTTGGTCATTATTTCTCATATACAGTCAAAAACATTTTTCAGGGAGTTCTAAATGTATTTCATAAATTCCTTTGCTTGTGTATAGACCTGTTTATAGCACAGCGTTGCTTGTGTGAATTTTGTTCATGTTTGAAAACACACTACTAGAAAAACAAGGTTCTCACAAGCCCAGGTTTGCCATGTTGTGTGTGTTGGGAACCAGAGCATTAGACATGAAGAAGCATTATCCTAAATTGTTTCTCTATAATAACCCCCCCCCCCCCTCCTCAGAGGTGCTTTTTCAAAAGGCAACTGGACAATGTTTTTTTTCCCTTGAGGAAGAAGAAATTTCACTTTTCATCCAAGAAGCTTCATCAGTTCTGTCTGGATGGAAGGATTAGTTCTGACGAGATGTTGGGGGTGATGGAAAGATTATATTTCTTTGCAATTATGTTAGCACTCCCTGAGAGCCATTGAGGCCACTTGGGGGGTTTATCTGTGCCCCCAAATGGCCTCAATGGCTCTCAGAGAGAGTGCTAATGACCAGATGACTGCAAATAAATAAAATCTTTCCACCACCACCCAATATCCTGTCAGAACTAATCTTTCCATTCCCCCTCCCTACCATCCAGACAGAACCGATGAAACTTCTTGGATGAGAAGCGAAACTTCTTCCTTAAAAGAAAAAAAAAAACATAGTCCAGCTGCCTTTTGAAAAAGGACTTTTGAATTGGAATGACTGAAAATTTCCATAGACATAAAACCCCTTCCATTTCCCATGAAATACCAGGTGCCAAAACTGCTGCCATTATATAATACTCACTCTCTCTGAGGGGCTGATGAATTCCTATGACAGTGATGGCGAACCTTTTAGAGACCGAGTGCCCAAACTGCAACCCAAAACCCACTTATGCATCGTCAGGTGCCGGGTGGGTGTGGCCCATTGGGTGGGTGTGGCCCACATGGTGGGCGTGGCTGCGGTGGTAACGGTAGACTGGGTGGGACTAAAAAGTTCAATCAATCAATTCCAACTTTGCAAGATCTTTTTTTTTCCTGCAAGAAGTTGAAATTGACTGATTGATTGAACCTTTTTTTTTTTGTACACGGCGGCAGAGGCCTAAAGTGAAAAGGTTTTATAAAACCCAGCTGAAGGCCTAGGACTGGGGTGACGGCGCGCGTGCCCACAGAGAGGGCTCTGAGTGCCGCCTCTGGCACCCGTGCCATAGGTTCGCCACCACTGTCCTATGATGAAGACAACGTTCTATAAATTTGAAGAGGTGGACTGTACAGTAGTTGAAAAATGTTTGTGAGACATACAGGTTAGCCTTTAGAACACTTGAGAGCTTCTATTTTTTCTGCCACAAATTAACATAGCCATTTGAAAACAGGATACAGCAAGGCCTCCTTTAGCGACCACAGTTGACACCATCAACTTGATGGAACATCTCTCAAAAAAAAAAAACCAAGGCCTGTTAAATGCAAGGATTGGTGGCAAAGTTATGTTTTCATCACTGTCATAACTGCAAATAGTCACAAAGTCGGGGCTACCTGTACAAACATATATTTCTACATAAACCAGAATTTAGACTGACATTTTATTGGAGTTAAATGTTTTAATCTTTATTTACTTGTGTACATAAACCATTTTGGGAGAGCTTCCACATATAAGATAGCTTAGAAATCATGCTGATATCTGTTTGGAGAAAAGAATTGATTTGACAACAGGATATCATTCGGAATGATAGGTTTCACTGGAAGCAAATATGTAGTGTCCTATAGTTTCAGCATCCTGATTATCTATGTATGTAGACTTATATCAGAGGAGTCCTTGGTGCTCTCTGGGCTTGGTTATTTCCTTGCAGAGTGCTCTGTTTGCACTGAAGACATCTGCAAGGAAGTGGGGAGTGGGGTTTACTCTCTTGTTTTATATACAGTAGCTTGACCTGCCAGTATTGGTGGGAGTGATGTTTTCTTCTTGATAGTTCCTTGATTAAGCTTTTGTTTATCTGAGTTGGTAGTTCCTTGATTAATGTGTTGTTTACTGCTTGATTGTTTGTCTGGTGTTAATCTTTGTGTTAACCCTTGCTTATCTGGGTGTTGATAGCTAGTTGCAGAGGTGTTCTGGTTATATGAACATTTTATTTCAGACTTATATCAATATTCTGCAGAGAATTTTGTATTTCTTTAGTAAAGAGAGGTAAATATCCATTTTCCGTACAATTCCAGAGGTCTATAATCAATGGATCTTTTCAATTGTGATTTTTTGTAATGTTGAAATATCAAGTATTATTTAATGTGCAATTATATAACTAGGGTCAGAATAGACATTTCACAATCCTAACATCCTGTTTTTTAAAAAGTTTTAACAATAAGTTCTTCTGAAGGCCACCCTTCCCCTTAGACTTTTGTAGGAATATAATCTTTTTTCTCCCTGTTTGAAATGATTTAATGTGGAAGACTTTTAACTTACCCTAGAATTAATTTCCCTTCTTGGCTATAAACAAAGTTGGTGGTCTTACCAGATCATTGGAATTAAGTTTCAGATCTTTGTTATACTGAAAATTACCAGCTGATATTTTTTTTTACTGATTTTATTAATGAAACGTTTAGCTGCTTGCCGTTATTCCTAAAAGCTTCCAAAAGTGCTTATAATAGGTTAGTTGTACTACAAGTGTTTTTGAGAGGCATCTGCTCTAAGCTTTTTAATTATGATTTTGTATGAGCATCATTCTGATAAGTGGGTCAAACCCAGCCTGGGGAACCCTAAATTCAAGTCCTTCCTTGGCTCTGAATTGTGTTGGGTGACCCCGAGGCTTTCAATAATGTCTTGCAGTTTAATTTCCATCTTACTCTGAGCACATTTCCTTGACTTCGTAGGAGATACATACATTATTCAAGCAAAGTCATTCAAAGGCAAAGATTGATTTGATCCACCAGAAACATTTTCTTATCACTTATTATGGAACTGGCTAGAGACATTATAATTCTTTCTTTCAGCTTCCATCTTGCTGCCTCTAAAGGATATAGCGAATGTCTCAGGCTTATGATTACACATGGCGCAGATGTTACAACTCTGGATGGAACAGGTACTCAAATTATCTGTTTAATATGAAAAGATATGTTTGTGTGTGTGTGTGCGTGTATGGATGGGCATATTCTCCTGGCATTCTTTGCTTTTGTGGCTCATAGCTACTGTAGAGGCAGAGAGAATGGCTTTGAGGAACAGAAGGAAGAGTCAGTGCCAAGACAACGGTTGGATAAAGGAAACCTGAGTCCGGGCCTGAACTGTTATGTATACAAACATCTAAGACAAGCTTTTCTAAGTACACACAAAGAAGCAGGCAGAGGCACATTCTGACTTGCAAGATTCTATTACTGTAAATGTACAATAAAATTTACTATAAATTTACAATAAAAGTAGTATTAGACTTTGTTTGATTCCTTAGGTTTTTTAGTCTGGTCTATCTTGAAGGGTTGGCTTCTACCTTCTCTAATGCAGTACCATCCAGGTACATTGGACTACAGTTTCTATCCTTTCTGCCCATCCAGTGGTGGGATTCAGCCGGTTCGCACCAATTCGGCAGAACCGGTAGCTAATTTTTTTGTTGCCCAGGCCCAGAATGGACTTCCAGAAGCAGCATCCACACAGAGAACCAGTTGTTCACATATTTGAATCCCACCACTGCACCCATCCCATGTTACTTAAATACATCTGAATAATCCAAAGTTAAGCAAGTCTGTGGATGGATGCTTTGGACCCATATATATGGATGTATGGAGATAAGTTCCACATTCCCATATCTAGTGCTGCACAGGTAGGTTAGACTAGAGTTCACATTATAGTTAGTTGAACATTTGAGTTGCAGCCAACACTTCTGGAGAATGCAGGAATGAGAAAGACTGCCTTGTACTAAAATCATTATTCTATTTGAGGTAAATATTTGTATTCTGATTAGTAGCAGCTTTCCAGTATTTCAAGTTAGTCTCCCCAGCTGACTTATCCAGAAATGGCATAAACTATACTTGGTTATCCTGCTCATGTGTTCCACAACTGTATTCTGCTCTGCCCCACAACCTTGTTTTGTTTGTTTTGTTTTGTTTGGGACGTACCACAATTTTTAGGGCTTCGGATCAATTTATTTCTCCTGGATTGATTCTTTCAGTACTATTTTGTATGATAGGAGAGGCTTGTTCCAGCTCCCATCTGCTAGGAAGTGTCATTTGGCAGAGCTCAGGAGGAGAACTATTTCTGCCATGACACCTGCCCATCTTGTGTTGACTGTATGATTTTCTGGTTGTGTTGATTTCATAGATATATGTTTTATATGTTTTTTTGGGTGGCTTTATTATTTTTAATATTGGGAACCGCCAAGCATCATGTAGTTGAGATAGACAGCAATATACATCTAATGAATAAACTTAATGCAGTTTATGATTATTGTGAATGGAATCAACATATCTGTTAGCCAGCCCTACAAATATCTGTTAGCCAGTATTCTACAAACACTGAAATCTGAGTGCAAATTTTCTGCAGCCAAATTATAGCCTGCTATTTGGTTTCACTACTTCAGACTCTCTGAAGCCCATCCCTTTATGACAGATGTATATGTAGCATTTAAGCAGGGTTTAAACCAAGTACAAAATGATGAAGCCAAACATCTTTTGTTCTTATTTAAATATAACATGTACTTAATCTTGGAGATAGGGAAGAGAATATTAGTACATTTGTTGATTGTTTCTGCTTATGTCACTCCTATAACTCTGTGAGGGAGATGGAGATTTTTGAATCTAAATACATGCCCACTTAGTACTTCAAGCTAAGGTTTTGAACAGTATTCATTTCATTTTTAGTGCTGTTTTCAGTGGGCCTGAAATAATTACGAAATATTTACATAGGGCACAGTGCTTTACATCTTGCGGCCAAGAATAACCATGTTGACTGCATCAAGAGACTTCTTCAGGTAAGGTGCTTTATTCCCCACCCCCCAGCACTTCTGGTTTTCTGATTAAATGCCAGCCTACATTAACCTTCTCTCTGCAGGTAGTAATTAAAGGGATTTAAGAGTTTGCACAGGGTCCACCTAAATTACTGAATTGTTTTAAGTCCTGGGCTGTGAGTAGGAGATCCTTAGATTATATAGTTGTTTGCTGCTTTCTCTTTCATCACAGTTTAATGGTGCTTCACTAAGATGCCTGCTCCACAGTTTCTACTTGCTTGTATGATCTAGTGGGAACATTTCACATAAAATGCCATATAATTGCATGTACTAGGAGTGGTAAAAGTTGATCTTTAACATCTGACAAGAATGATGTAATGTCAGGCTAGAGCAGTGTTTCTACAGCACTGGAGATGGATAATCCACGATTGGGTTAATAGTGAGTGTCCAGTTTCTTCACAACCACATATGATAGCAAAGCTTAAGCAATGAATCAAGCTCTTCATTTTTACAATGGAGTAGAAAAATCTTCTTGGCTGGATTCTGGTATAGACCCATGCAATTAGATGTTGGTATCAGATTTCTATATGGTTTTCCACTTCTCCCAAAATGTTACACTACAAAATGAGATGGGGAGAAAGGGGCTCTCTAAAAAAAATCCAATATATTGTCTCCTGTGAATGGATTTCAATCCTCTGTCTAATTTTGTAATATCCGCCACCCCTTTCTAATTCAGTAGACTCACCATAGTCTTTAGCCAGCATTTTTGGGTAGGACTGATATACAGGGGGTTTAAAACCACTTAACGAAGTTCAGAACTGACATTGTGCTCAGAAATTAAGCAGGCATAAACTTAGTTAGCCTTCAGATAAGAAATCTTCAGGAAATTCAAGCACTTTAGCCAGTCCAATCTGAAAGCATTCTGGAACAAACCATTTACATTAGAAATAATGTAGACTTCCTAGGAAAACCGAAATCTCTGACAACACCAATTATCCATTTATTTTTCTTTTGCTGGAAATCTAAAAAAAAAATTTCAGTCAAAGAGAGACATTGTTCTTTTATTAAACATTTAATAATTTAATAATTGCTGACATCTATTTTTGACATGTCCTCTCTAAGTTTCAACCAGTCAAAAGCACATTGCTTCACCTCTTGCAGTCTTGCAACCAAGCGGTATTGGATGATCAACTTTGCAAAATGGATTTAATCCCTTTCTAAAAACATTCAGATTAATTTTGTCCTGAACATCTAGTTAATTCTGGATAGCGTTCAATAGTTTGATATTAGTTTGATATTCACACAAAAAACATTTATCCCATACAGTATTACAATCTTAACTTTCAAAATCCTTTGTGTTCTGTATTTTACTAAGGCTTCTTTTTTCCCATTCTACAGTCCAAATGTCCAGCAGAGAACACAGATAGCTCGGGTAAAACTGCTTTACACTATGCAGGTATTACATTATTTATTTTATTTATTTATTTTATTTATTTATTTTATTTATTTATTTTATTAAATTTATATCCCGCCCTTCTCCTTGCGGACTCAGGGCGGCTAACAATCGGGTAAAAATGTCTTGCTACCATTCCATCTAGTATAATTTGTGCCTTCTGCTTAAAGTTCAGTAAGAACTTTGACAAACAAGAAGGGTAAGACTGAGCTGACCACATCAGGTCACGAATTATTTTAATTGTTTTCATTATATTCCCGTAATAAAGACATAGTTGAATGGGCTTTGCTAAGTAAATTTCCAGTAGAACTTGATGGAGATAGTCCTCACTTAATGACCATTTGTCAAGGACTGAAATAACAATGGCGCTGAAAAGATAATGATATTTATTTATTTATTTATTTATTTATTTATTAAATTTATTAGCCTTTATGGTCCACTTATAATCTTTGCAGTGTCCTTCAATCACATGAATCACCATTACAGTTGCACTATCCTGGGAAAACACATGGCTGCTACAGTATGTTAATGTGCTACATGCTCTGAAGCATCCTTTTGACTTCAAACAAGAAGCATTGCATAGCTCTAGCAAAAAATGAGGGTGAAGCCCATGAAAATGTGATAAATATATGATCCAGCCGTTGAACATGTGAAAAATATAGTCACCTGGTACAGCTCTACCCTGAAGTGACCTTCTAAAAGGACTTCAAAAAAGAACTAGACAACCCATACCCATTGGGTCATTGTTTCAGAGATACCTCTTTACTTAAACAGACAAGCAGAATGACAACAGATCAGCAAAAAAGCGGTGGAAATTGGAGCGACTTCACCAAATTTTAATCCCATAGGATTTATAGGTCCCAGATTTTGGACACATTCTTTAAATTACCCCATTTGAGGTAACTGTTTCAAAAATTGTTGTCCTACGACACACTGTTTTACTCAGTTGAAGATTGCAAACTGACAAACAGGAGAGTTTTAATAATATACTGCAGATCTTCTAATTTTAGAATTGTTTTTTTCCCTTCTTAAGCTACCTATGGCTACCTTCAAATAACTCAGCACCTGTGTGAACACAAGTGTCCAATTAACATCAAAGATGTGGTATGTAATTATGATCTCATTGACAATTCTTGTATCCCTTTAAGCTTTTAAACGTCTTTCAGTTCCTGAAATCTTATTAAAACTTAGTCAGCTATTTTGTTTGGTGTTCCTTATTCTATTATTTTTAATAATTTTGCAGTCCGGTTGAAGATATCCCAACATAGATATTTATAACCACTCAATTTCACTTTCAGGTGTGCTGTTATTAATGAGAAAGCATGCAGTAAAAAATTCCATCTGCTATATAAAGTATCAAGTGCTTTTACTTTGATATCTGGTTCTGAACCAGGATCAGAAATTCAGAAGACATAAATGAGAAACGTTCATCTAAGTATTAAAAGAATAACATTGCAATAGTTTCATAATGAGAGGAGGTTTGATGCTGTGGCGAACCTATGGCACGTGTGCCAGAGGCAGCACTCAGAGCCCTCTCTGTGGGCATGCGCACCATTGCCCCAACAGAATTCGCCAGAGTAGAGAGCACATGGCGTTTGAAAGTGACAGGGCAGGAAGTGAGTGAGCAAGCGGCGTTGGCCCCCTGGGGATGCCCCGGAGATGGCGAGGGACTGGCCCCAGCCACGTTAACCCAGTCTGCCATGATTACTGCAGCCATGCTCACCCAATGGGCCACTATCCCCCCCCCCCGAGGGCACCACAATGCTGATGCAGCCCTGGCACTTTGCGATAAATAAGTGGGTTTGGGGTTGCAGTTTGGGCACTCGGTCTCTAAAAGGTTCGCCATCACTGCTGTATAACAACTGGCAGTCGTGGGTCATGTTTATTTCCATCTGATTACTATTGCCATTGTAACCTCTTTATTTATGGTAATTTCTGTTTCTTATTCCATGTCTGAGCTATCTAACTTCATTAAACATCTTGGTTCAGTTTTACATTTTCTTACTTGCTTTATGTAAAGCAATCCATTCAACTCCATTCAGAGAAAGAAGGCTGAAAGTAACTTTTGAGCAAAACTGGACTGCCAGTTCTTTCAAAGGTAGCTTTATGCATAAAGATCAACAATGATGGCAATCTCACACAACTTTTCTTTTAGTATTCCTTTCACTCCAGTAACTAAGTGGTTGTATTGTTTATTTTCAAGTTATTCACACCAATCCCAAGAGCATGAGAGCAGTAGGAGCTGCTTGGGGGTTCTGCTTAGGTTCAGTAGATAACAACACTTGGTCAACTTGTCTGGTTTGAAGATAAGCAGGAGCAAACCTGGTTAGTACCTGGATGAGAAACTTATCAGATGAGCTCAGGCTAAAAATTATATTCCCCCCTTCCCCCATGGTCTCCGAAAATAACAGTAAATATACACAGTACCTGAATTGACTGGATATTTCCATGCATATTACTGTAGGATGGGTAATAATTTTATAGCAATAGGTACATTTTGTTACAAGGAAGGTATTTAACACTTGGGTACAAAAGGTCACTGAGATACAGTGAGGGAAAAAATTATTTGATCCCTTTAGATCCGGGCGGCAGCAGCCTGGAAAAGGCCTCCGACACCCGGATCCAGCCTCAGGAGGGCCGGGGCTCAGATCCGAATGGCAGCGGCCTGGAAAAGGCCTCAGATGCCCGGATCCAGCCTCTGGAGGCACATGGAAACATCCCCCGGCTTCGGTTCCATTCTCTATTGCAGAGACAGAGGCCTAAAGTACCATGACATCACGCGAGATCTCGCACCACTGATGTCACATGAGATTGCACACCACTGATGTTGCGTGATCTTGCGTTACTTTAGGCCTCCATTCTCTGCGAACACACCGAAGGCCTAGAGCAGCCAAGAAAGCGAAGGATCTTGCAGGATGAATATTGAAGACGTAATGCCTAGGGAGACCCGGGAGGGAGGAGGGAATAACCAGGGCGAATGTTGCAGTGCCACTGCGGTTGCTTGTAAGAATGAATGACTGCTGTAGTGTGGTAACATTTGTAATTTCAGGACTTGCTTGTAAGCACTAGGGGGCGCTTATTGCGTAACTGCAAACACTAAGAGAACGTTCGCAACTCCGGGATTACCTATATTCCGTTGTTTCCAGTTTCTGGATGTTTCCAATTTCTGTGGTGCACATCTTGTTATAAATGTGTTGACTTATTTGACTTCAATTGAATAATAAATAAGGTATAATTTTTTTTTCAATGTTTTCTTCAGGAAGGAAATACACCTTTCTTACTTACCGTACAAAATGGCCACTCTGAAGTATGCAAATGCCTTCTAGACCATGGGGCAGATGTCAACTCCCGGGACAAAAATGGCAGGTAGGATTAAATGGCATGTTCCCCATTTTCTTTAGCAGTAACTAGCTTTCTGTCGGTCCTAGACACTCCATCAGACTATTTTTTCTAGAGTAGGATTGAAATCAAAAGACAAATAGTATATTTTGCATTTGCATAAGAATCAACTTTAAGAGATAAATTCTTATTGTTTCCAAATATTTGCCGAAGTCCTTAATCAAGAAGGAAGAAGATCTTACTCTTCTTTTGCTGTGAGAAATATGCTGGTATTCTCTCAGTTTGCCCGTTGAAACTTATCCTGAGACTTCAATGTAATTAAACAGCTTGGCTATAATTATTAGAAATACATGAAGTAATACATCTTGTTTTATGTAAGGCACAACTTCCCCACTAAAAGTCACAAGAAACATTTTATCATATCCTGTATGGGAAATGTTTCAGCTTGTTGCAGCCATCCATGTTCTTTCTCTGTAGTTTCTGTCATCAGAGCCAAGTATACAAAGGTACACAGTGCCAAAAATCTATAGACAGAGGATAAAAGTTGTTAATTGCTGGTAATCATGCCATATACAGTATAATCTCCTGTTTTGGCATGCTTCTAGATACTAGTTGTTGAGACATGTTAATGGGAAGAATTGGTTCTCACTTGCTCTCCTCTGGGTTTCTAAGAGGCATCTCATTGGCCGTTGTGGGAAGAGAATAGATAGATAGTCCTAGATAGATAAGACTTTGCCTGACCTAATAGGCTAATGTCAAAATAAGTTGTGTAATATTACATATGATTGGTATGGGATCCTGTCCTTTAGAGATATCTTGTCCAGCTTGGCCTGAAATGGGCAACCTTTCCCTGTGTAGATGTATTGAACTACAGTTTTCATTAGCTATATCCAGCATTTTAGGAGTTGTAGTCCAACACATCAGGAAGGCTCCAAGTTGGAAAAGGATTACATGAGGAAAGCCATACTGCACATTTTTAAACTAAATTCATTCCAAGCAAAAGTCTCCTTCACTTGAACTTGTGACTTCATCCAAGTCAAATTTTTTGGCAACTAAACGGAAATGTTTTGCCATGGTCTTCTCCTGAAAAAGAGTTTGTTTGCTTATTTTGGTTTCCCAGTTTATCCTATAGCAGCCATGAGATTTCCTAGTGATCTTTCATCAAAACCTACAGGGATATAATATAATAAATATAATATAATATAATATAATATAATATAATATAATATAATATAATAATATAATAATATAATATAATATAATATAATATAATATAATATAATATAATATAATATAATATAATATAATATAATATAATATAATATAATATAATATAATATAATATTATAATATAATATAATATAATAATATAATATAATAATATAATATAATATAATATAATATAATATAATAATATAATATAATATAATATAATATAATATAATATTATAATATAATATAATATAATATAATAATATAATATAATAATATAATATAATGTAATATAATATTATAATATAATATAATATAATATTATAATATAATATAATATAATATAATAATATAATAATATAATAATATTATAATATAATATAATATAATATTATAATGTAATATAATATAATATAATATAATATTATAATATAATATAATATAATATAATATAATATAATATTATAATATAATATAATATAATATAATAATATTATATTATAATATAATATAATATAATATATAATATAATATAATAATATAATAATATAATATAATAATATAATATAATATAATATAATATAATATAATATAATATAATATAATATAATATAATATAATTAATATAACCTCAGCCTACGCATATCTTGGGCTGCTCTGGAGTGGTATCATATATCTTAAGTTATTCTGGGGCAGTATTTCCTTGCCACAGGCTCATGCTCCCCTTCATGGTTGGTCTTCTTAATTTTTGTAGAACTGCTTTGATGCTGGCCTGTGAAGCTGGAAACCTGAACATTGTGGAAACCCTGATCCGAAAAGGGGCAGATATAAATTTGGCAGATGCACTTGGACACAATGCCCTACATTACTCCATGCTTTCCGAAAATACAGGAATTCAGAATCTCCTTCAATCCAAAATGGTTCAAGATGCTGGTATGTGCACACTTCTTAAATACTTTCTAAAGTATACAAATAAGGCCACATAAGTAGCGTATGCGATCACAGCATTCCATGGTCATGTGACTACCATTTATGACCTTCTGCTGGCTTCCCAATTGACTACTAGTCAAAGACCAGCATTGAAGGTCACAAATGGCAAATACTTGACCACAGGATGCTGTTTACAATGTTGTAATTGCAAGCCAGTTGCCGAGCACCCAAATGGTAATCTAATGACTGTGAAAACAATGGTTACAGCTATGAAGATTTTATGTCTAGTGAACATGCTTTGTTATGTTCCTTCCCCTGTCTCTGAAAGATGGGTCTTTCAGTTTTTAATCTGTCTGCCTCTTCCTTCCCTCCCCCCTTTTCTAATTTTTCTGACCCATTCCTCCACCCTGTTGGAGAGGGTTTCCCTCCACCTCCAAATTCAATATTTTGAATATTTAATGGGCCAATTGAAGAGACTTCTTGTTAGGTTTTCTTTTTTGTACTGTGCTTTTAAGGCCTGTTTAAGCTGGGGTAACTCTGTATCTGCAGATAAACTTAAGCCATTAAAAAAAACCCTTAGTCTGTCTAACAAAAGAAAGGATGCTGACTTAGCCATCTTATGTATCTACATATATCTTCTTTGTATACAGTGGAGTGATTAAATGCCATGGAGTATGGTGTGTGTCTAGTGTTATACTTGGATTGCTTCTTCATTCACACTCTCATTGTGCATTATAAAATAGTCAAGACTTGAAAATATAAATATAAGTAGGATTATTTACACATCTGGTGTAAATTAAAGATGTGATTCCAAACAAGTGTCCACATGATATGGTTAAAAAAAAGTCAAAGAGAACACAATAAAGTTGAAGGCCCATCTGTTGTATATACCTACCTATTACACCTCTGTAGCTTCCATGTTGACTTTTTTGACCATATCCTATGAGCCCCCAACTCCAAATATGTTCATTTGTACCTCAAGCTATATTGAAATCAAGGAATTGACTAAAATAATGCCAAGCTTAAGATCTTGGTTCATGTATCTCAATTAACTTAAATGCAGTCTTTCTTTTCTATAGATGCCAAGTCACCAATCAAGTCAAAGCAGGTAAAAAAGAAAGAAAAAAGATATAGTGGCTTAACAAAGATAAACTTTATATTTAGCATAAATAAATGCCTAAGAATTAAAATTATGACGAAATATTATTTTTAGTTTTATAGAGCTTTTGGAAATTTATCCAACGTGTGTGTTAAATAATTGTGTGAATCTCCCGTCTCTGATTCAAACTGGGACAGTTTCATTGGAACAGCTAAAAGAAGCAGTCTATGCATTTAATCATCTTTTGCAGCTAGAAGATCCTTATTATAGATTTTCCACACTGCAAAAGTTTTGTGGAAGACTCAGGATCTGTAGAAGGCATCATGTTGAAGAAGGCTGTTTCAACCTATTTGAACATTTTTGGACCTCCTTGTAATAACATTGGAAAAAGCATGTTCTAATCTCCTTGCAGTCAAGCTGGAGAAGAAAGGAGAATGGGAGTTTCATACTTGTTCACACAACAATAAAGTATAATCTACTTGGTTTAGTGATGCTTAGAAACCATTTCAATGTAACAAGCCTAAAATTCTGAAGTAGCTGCTCAAGCTTTATTGGCTTTCAGGGATGTCTTTGGCCAATTGTAAGAAGTTGCAGAAAATGATCCTGTTTCCTTGCGATGTCATGTACAACTTCTAAAGTAGGGCTGGTATCAGTTACACCCAATTGGCTGCAGTTATGAATTATTGCTTTGCTACGTTGAGTTCCTCTGTTCCTATTTTGTGGATTCCAAATTTATGAGAGATTTTGAAAGCAGGTAGACAGAGATGGCAGAAGATTATGGTTGGTACTGATGATTTTGGCCTGCAGAATGTTCAGTTATATATTTTGCAAAGATACATATAAATGCTAAATGGTCCAAGAGACTCAACAAAAAATGGCTCAGGAACAGGATTGGGAGGATATAGCCTGTCTCTTTTCTATCGGTCCTGGGACAGACAAGGCAGGGATCAGGGGGTTTGACAGATGGCTCGAGGCTGTGAATAGCCTCTGAAAACATGGCTCAGTAGGGAGGGGTCTGCCTTTATTGACTTCAGCAAAATGTACAGAGGCATGAATTAAAAAAGGAAGCAGGATGAGCTCATGCTTAAACATGTGTCATATCCTCACAGCAATAAGACAAGGCGTGAATGTGTGTGTGTGTTTTTAATGTCTTTGAATAACTTGTTAACACAATCCTTACTAACAAACTAACAGACCTCCCTTTTCTGGCCTGTGAAACTTCCAGCATGATGAAGTCTCTAAATTAAGTTCAGAAAGAAGTGGAACTCCAAAAAAACGCAAAGCCCCTCCACCTCCTCCCATCAGTCCTATCCAGGTAAACAACCAATCCAGCTTGAACGGGTTGCTATGTATAGAGAGGGAGGGTTGGTGGAGGAATGTCCTGTTGGGAATCGATCTGGTTAAATTTGCTTGGTGTAAATCCCTCTCTCTCTCTCTCTTTTTAAATATGTGAGTCTCATGTATCATGAGTGAATTCTCATCAGAATAGAAATAGGACGGCCTGTTGTTGGGAAAAAAATACCACATATGAATTGCCACTTTGCAGAGAGAGCTGTTGAGATGGGACAAAAACCTAAGTTTAGATTATGGGAGCTTATAAGAGTGACCTCCAAGACTGTTGGCTTGCCTTTTAACCATCAGTTGAAGTTTGTTCTTAGACATGCATAAGCAGCTTTGCACATGGGAGCCCATGGCATTTTAACAAAAAGTTTAATATTAAACTGAGTAGTTGCTCAGGCGATTGTTTGATTGCATGCCGGCTGCCGACAAACAATGAGGGCTGTGTAGTCCTGCTTATCTCCAACTAACAGAGAATGATGACTTCTGCGAGCAAGAGGAAATTTGTGTCCCTAAAATGCATCCATCTCTTCCAGCTTGCTGACCATTCTTCATCACATGCAACAACTTCAACCCCAGCATCTGGGAAAGACCAGTTCTTTGCCCAACGAGGATCCAAGGTATACTTTTTTTTCGGGTCTTGCTTCAAATGAAATATGAACATTGCCCTGTTTGTAGGACAGCCTCTCCTATTGGGCTTTCCAGATATATTGGTTGCCCCTAGGAATGAGTTGCATGCTCAGCATATTTGAGGGGCACCTGACTGTGGAATGCTGTTGTAGAGGGTCGAGCAATGTGACACAGTATTTAATTAACACAAGTTGGAGAGAAGTTCACTGTTGTGCAAAGTGCATGGACATAAATAGATAAAACTAGAGAATTCCAGCTTCTAGTATTCTCTGAAACTTTACCTGTCCATGAAGTTAAATGAATCACTTAAGATTACTTGTGGGAGGGTTGTACCACATCAAACTTGCGGGAGGGTTGTACCACATCAAATGGCCTAATGGAATTTCCTTCCAAGGGGCACTAATGATAACATCCACGGCACAAATCCAAGTGACTTCACAACATGTGGCTTAGCTAAGAGCAAGGAGCATCTCAGTGTTTTAATCAGCTGACTTTTAAGATTACTTTGGTTAGCATATTTCCTCAGGGAGTGAAAATAAAAAATTTTAAAGTGACCTTTTCTCTAAATAATGTTGCTTCTTAAGCAATGAATTTTATACTTCCTTCATTTTCTTCAACACTTTTCCTTGCCAATTTTGGTCGTTATTTATTGACAGCACTTCTATCCCAACTTTCTGTACCAAATACCCAATGTGACTTGTCAAAATCGGAACACAGCAGCTCAAGTACATAAGAACAGCCCGCCCACCCCATTCACCAATGTAACACCAGTTCCAAGAGCTTCACTGGCTACTGCTTTGCTTCTAGATGCAAATTGTGATGCTGCACCTTTAAAGCTCTTAATGGCTCAGGACCTGGATAAGAACCAATGAGATCTAATAGGGAGATTACTCTTTGAGTCTCATCTCTGCAGAGTCTTAGCATCAGGGACCACCAAGATACTGTATGTTTTTTACATTGCTGTCTCCCTCCTTTGGAACTATGTTCTTTCCAATGTCAGATTAGCACCAACCCTGCTGAGCATCTGCTAAATCTGTAAGACCTAACTGTTTTGGAAAGTTTAGGAGTGGTAGAATGATGAATCCCCATCCTGTAGTAGGTGATTGGTTATTAACTGAGAGTTGCTACTCAGCACGATGAAAAATGTGAAAGTTATTATTGTTGTAATAATTGTTTGTTTTGAGTCAATTTATAGTTATTTAATCTTATGGTATCGGCATCTAAGCTGCTTAGAGACGTGTGAGACTGAAGTGGTACATCAGCTTAAATAAATAAAACCAGCAACTAAATTATAGTGAACAGTTTATGATATGCAGACATGTATACATGTAGTCACTCAAATATCTGCCACTTAACCAATTATTGTTGAAAGATGGTTCAAAAGTTACGGTTGTTTATTTTCAGTGGAACATTCCACTTCAAAGATATTTGAGTTTATTAATGGGTAGTTCAGTGGGACTTGGTTCTTGCTTTTAAGCAATCATGGCTTATATTTGTCTTTCAGCAGGAAGATACCAGTGCTATTCCGTCTGATTGCAAAGATGGGATAAGGGAGAGCACTGTAGGTAAGATTGAAGGAAAGATGTGAGGATGATTTCCTCTGTCTTCTTCTATTTTAAAAGTTTCCTTCTAAAAACTGAACTCTGAATATTATTATTGTACCTATAATAATAATAATAATGATAAAGTTGGAAGGTACCTTGGAGGTCATCTAGTCCAACCCCCTGCTCAGGCAGGAAACCCTATACCATTTCGCACTATGGCCATAGTTTTGCACTATGGCCATAGTAGAGTTAAAGTTTGCCACTTCTCTGCAAGAAGATACTGTTTCTGCTGACTCATTTTGTCATGACAACTCCATGGAAGAGATTCCATTATTTCCCCCTATGCTTTATTGCTTTAAGCTGGTTTTGGATCCTGACGTCCCCTGTCTCAATTCCTAAATGTCACTGATTGCGCTCTCCCAACCAGCCTCACAGGACTGTTAAACAATTTTGAGTTTTTAGAAGAAATAATAGGGCAGTGGTGGTGAACCTATGGCACGGGTGCCAGAGGCGGCACTCAGAGCCCTCTCTGTGGGTACACACGCCATCGCTCCAGTCCCAGGCCTTCAGCTGGATTTTATAAAACCTTTTCGCTTTCAATCAATCAGTCAATTTCAACTTCTCGCGGGGAAAAAAAAGATCTTGCAAAGTTGGAATTGATTGATTGAACTTTTTAGTCCCACCCAGTCTGCCGTTACCACCGCAGCCACGCCCACCCAATGAGCCACCCCCCCCAATTGGCCACACTCAGCCAATGGGCCACACCCACCCGGCACCCGACGATGCATAAGTGGGTTTTGGGTTGCAGTTTGGGCACTCGGTCTCTAAAAGGTTTGCCATCACTGTAATAGGGGGTCCTGGGATCAAAGTACTAAAGTGGTTTTGATTTGAATTTATTTCATTTACTTTAAATTAAAATTAAGCAGAATAAATGCCATCATATGATCACTCCCCGTGCATTCATAATTTTCTCCTGTCGTAATTTTATGTTATAACTTGGCACCAAATTTTGGAAGAGTTCCAATCTAGCATGCCCACTTTTAGCTTAGCTGCAAATCCACTAACAACCTGTTGTTTTTACCCAAGTTTGCATGTTCTAGATTTTTTTGGCAGTGTCTCAAAGTGTTCATAAATCTCCAGATTCAGTAGTTCATTAAAATACTTCCCAGAAGCCATAGCTGCCGAACAGTTTTATAAATCAGATTTTCATGTGGCATTGCCAAAATTGCCAAAGCTAGTAAATGATAATTGTCAGTTTTCATTTTGAAGGTTTGCTAAATAGAAACTATAGAATTGTAGCCACATTGAACATTCAAATCATACACGTGCTTATTTTTTTTTCTTGTTCCTTCCCTTTTCTTATTTAAAGGTGCTAATAGTTCATTGGATGTGAGTTCAGAAACAGATCAGCAGGATTTGCTCCTGATGTTGCAAGGAAAAGTTGCTTCTTTAACATTACAAAATAAGAAATTGCAAGAAAAACTTCAGGTACGTGTTCAGGAATAAATTCTAGCACAGAACAGCACTGGTATCTTTGATAAAGGATGTCGGTGCCTTAATGGAAAAATATTAAACTGAACTCTAAAGGATACAAAATGAGTTTGTGCTGCAGATTCAAGAAATTATATGGGATTGGAAATTTCTGATCCATCAGTTGGTCCATAGAGTCCCTCTAGTGAAGCCCCCACTCCCTCCCTGACAAATAACTCACAATTATGGCTTATTGGTGTATATGATTCATGTCAACCTTTCTGAAAAGCAGAAGGTAGCTTGGATGATAATCTCCCTTCATGTTACAACAGGGGTAGGCAACCTTGGCTCTTTTATGACTCGTGGACTTCAACTCCCAGAATTCCTGAGCCAGCATAGCTGGCTCAGGAATTCTGGGAGTTGAAGTCCACGAGTCATAAAAGAGCCAAGGTTGCCTACCCCTGTGTTACAACAACAAAGAGCTAAGAGAAAAAGAGACTGGCTCAAAATTATCCAGTGAGCTTTCTTAGCTGAGGTTGGGCTTGAACTTGGATCTCTCCAGTCTAGATCAACACCTTCACTATTACCCACAACTGGCACAACTCTGCCATTCTCTGTGCAACTGCTAGTGTAGGGCAAAAGTCTCTCTGCATTTTTCTCCAAGAAGCCTGAAAAATCATTTTCTGTCTTGCCTTGCAAAGATAAAAGCCTTTTATTCTATCAGACTAATCAGGAAGCAACATCTCTTCCCCCTTCAGCCATATGGAGATAAGTGCTCCATGCAAAACCCAGTTGGAGAAACTGAGCTTGGTCATCTGCACATTTGTTTTCTTTCTGTGCACCAGCAGACCTACTGCTTCTCTCTACTCCTTCGTGGAGAAACACAGGGTGGAGACATGTTTTTGTGTCTTGGGGAATCTGTGATTTAGCCTTACTAAAAGCCCACCATGACATCACCTGGAACACATTCAGTTTCCCATCCCTTCTTTCCATGTTTGTGGTTTATGCAGTCAGTATCGTTCTCTTCAGTATTCTGAAGTCAGAAATACAATTCAGACTGCATTGGAAATGGGAACTCTTGGGAACAGCCACACTACAATATCATCCTTCTGGCAGAAGCGGAGGGAGAGGTTTGCTGGCTGAATGGAAATCAAAATGTTGACCCAATAATGATCAAAGAGGGGGAGAAAAATGGAGCTCCTTGTCTTCTGGATGGGGAAGGAATTCTTGGGTTCCATTAGAACAGACATGTCAAACACAAGGCCCGGGGGCTGGATGCGGCCTGCAAAGTGGTTTCATGTGGCCCCCGAAGCCATCCTGGAAACAGTGAGGGAACGGCCCCCTCTGCCTTGGCCCTGGCCCAGGCCAACTGGGAGCCAGTGTACAATTTTGTGGTGGCCATCTATGCTGAAACGTATTCAGTCTTAGCTCCATAAGCCCCCCCTCCCCCAGCATGGCCTGAGAGGAACAGTGAGGCTCCTCCAGTGGACCATGCCTTGGCACTTGCCCTGGTCCCACCCCCTTCTGCCAGAGACCCTCAGATCTGTCCCACTCCTGCCCAGGCCCCCACAGGCACCCTTGACGCGAACGATGTAGAACTGGCCACACCCACCCAGTAGGCCACACCCACTCCATCCACGCCCACCCAGTAGGCCGCACCCACCCCGGGCACACCGACCTGGCCCCCTGAGGGCAACCGCAATGCTGATGCGGCCCTCAATGAAATTGAGTTTGACACCCCTGCATTAGAATTAGACATAATTGTTGACTGCTGCCCTCTGCTGTCTCTGCAGGCAAGAGCCTTCAAAACAGAAGATACAGACACCACAATGGAATCTTCTTGTTCCACCCACACGGAATTCGGTGCCTTCACTAACAGGCTGAGTGAAGGCTCGGCAGTATCAGCTGAGGACATAAGCACATCTTCCCTGATCTTGGCACAGGCTCAGGAAGAAGCAAGCCCTAATGAATTAAAAATTAAACAGTTACAAGAAAGCTTAGAAGAAGTACAGAAAAGACTAGATAGTTCAGAAGCAAAGAGGTTGCACTTGGAGTCACAGCTTCAGTCTAGCATGCTGGAGGAAGGTCCTTTGTTGAACAGCTCAGAGATTTCAGAGAATGGCTCTGACCTCAATCAGAAGCTCAAAGAAACTCAAATCAAATACGAAGAAGCGGTGAAGGAGATGCTGCATGTCCAGAGACAAATGAAACTGGACCCGGTAACTTCAGAAGGCAAAGTGCCTGACCTGCAGGAGATCAAAACAACCTGTGAAGAAGTTGAGCTGCTGAAGGAAGAGCTGAAGAAAGCTCAAGAAGATGATGAAATGCTGAAAGTGAAGGTGAAGGAACTAGAAATAAAGGTGGAAGAATGGGAGAGAAATGCAGCTGGTATAATGTCTGTGGAAGAATGTGAGGAGATGAAAAAGTCGTATTGTTCAGTTATTGAAAATATCAACCAAGAGAAGGTGTTGCTAATTGAAAAATATAAGGAAGGACAGGAAGAAATCAAAAAGCTTCAAGACAGAGTGAAGGCTCAGATGGAATTAGAGCAGAGTGATGAAGCTGAAGAGGTGAAGGTTGCAAAGAACCAAATGATAAATGAACTCAACAGGCAGGTTAGTGAACTTTCTCAAATGTACAAAGAAGCCCAGGCAGAACTTGAAGATTGCAGGAAGAAAAGCACTCCAGAAGACATAAGTTCCAGATACATACCTCTGGAGGAATATGAGAAGCTAATGGAGGCCACCCTCTCACAGAGACAACAAGCTGAACATGCTTTATTGGAAATGAAGACACAATATACAAAAGTGTTAAGTGAAGTGACACAACTCCAAAACTTGGTTGATGCTCAAAAGGAGAATTCTGTCTCCATCACAGAACATCTTCAAGGAGTTACCGCTCTCCAGACCTCGGTGAAGGAGATGGAAGAAGAAATAAGTGAGCTCAAAGAGCAGATACTTCATAAGGAGAGTGAGGTACAGCGTCTGCAGAAGGAGTTGTTAGAAGAAGAAGCTGCAGTGTGCGAAGCCATGGTGCCTAGAATATTGTATGAAGAGCTCCAGTCTTCTTCAGAAAATGAAGTCAACACCTTGTCATCCAAGCTGAAGGATTTAATGAAAGAAAAGGAGACCTTGTCTGCCAATCTTGCACAGTTGAAGAAGGAGATCTCACAAGTGAAAGGGGAGAAGGAGAACCTCCAAGCTCTTCTCCAAGCCAGGGAAGAGGAAATCAGAGGACTACTTCATCAGTATCATAAGTCTCAAGAAGAACTCCTCGTAATGAAAAAAGCTTCTGAGAGTGCCTTAAAAATGGATGAAGACAAAGATAAAAAGGTTAGTTCTGACATCCCTATCAGGAATGGCTGGGTTTCCCATGGTCCAAATGCACCCCCAGAAGCATGTTCATCCCCTGATTACTTGGAGATACTTGAAAGATGTTACTGTGCTAGCTTCTTTGTGGTTATTAGAGAATCCTGGGCTAGATTGGATTCCTTTCCAGTAACAGAATTATGATGTAAATGCAGAAATGGTTTCCTATGCTGCAAGATGGTTATATGTAGTATCTCTTGCATGAACTTGTTTTAGGGAGTTTGAAGAAATAGACGCTCATCCCCATGTGTATTTTTGCAGAGAAATCAGGTTGTAAAAGGTGATTGGTGCAATCGTCATAAATACATGCCAAGCGCCCAATTTTTTATCATGTAACGGGGGTGCTGTGATGTTTGTAAGCATGGGAACCGGTTGTCACTTTCTTCAATGCTGCTGTAACTTCAGACAGTCATTAAACAAATGGTTGTAAGACGAGGACTACCTTTGCATTATGATTAAACTTAACCATCTGCATCAAGGTGATGATAATGAAGGTTGTTTCCCCACCTTTAAAGCAGAACTCACCAGGACTTTGATGTACTCTGGAATAATGAAGTTTTTTCCTTTTACCCTTTTATAGATAACAGACATGTCCAAGGAAGTTACCAAGTTAAAGGAAGCGTTGAACAGTCTTTCCCAGCTGTCTTACTCAACTGGTACACCTAAACGACAAAGTCAGCAGCTGGAGCTGTTGCAGCAGCAAGTGAAGCAGTTACAAAACCAACTGGCTGTAAGTTTATAACTTCCTTATGTACAATTGCTTACTTTTGTAGTTGGAGACTCTAATTCTCCTTGGGATGAAACTGGATAAACGTACTCCTTGATTTTTGACTGTAATTGAGCCTGGAATTACAGTCATAAGCTATGTCGGTTGTTAAGCAGGCCCGACTTTTCTTGTGGCAGTCATTAAGTGAATCCCTATGATTGTTAAGTGGTTGTTAAATGAACAACATAGTCATTAAGTGAATCCATTGTCCGCAATGGACTTTTTTTCTTGCTGAAAACCAGTTTCTGGCAAAAAATATCATAAACTAGTCATGCAACCATGGGATATTGCAATTTAATATAAGTCTGGGCTGGTTGCTGAGTGCTTAATGCATTCATGTCATGGTGGAGGGCAGAGGCATCATAACTTTGAATCTGAGTTGTAAGTAGTCCTGGGGAGGTTTGTCATAAACTTTGGACCGGTCATAAATCGAGGATTACATCCTCTGATACCAGGGACAATCTCAATGAGATACATAGCCTTGGTTTGTCCATTGATGTTTTTTTTTAATTACAGAGCAGTGACAGATCCTTTCCTTTCTGCCATGCCAGTTCTCGTTTTCTTGTCAGAAAAAGATCTTTTTTTAGTTCTTTCAAATCAGTGTGGGAGCTTGTCTATAGAATTATAGGATTTCTGAGATGGCAAACCAGTTGGAGCAACATAACATTAAGCCAGGGTACACCGTGGACCCAGTTTTTGTATCTGCTGATTGTGCTTTTGTACCATTGCCAGGTTCTGTTAGGTATGCATAAGAGTGCCTAGCAGTTTCCAGAACATTCTGGGGTTGAGTGGTCATCACCTGCTTTAGGACGAAGGCATTTGCCCTGATTCAGCCAAATGAGCTATCAATATGAATGCTTTCAATTTGGAAATTGGCAGCATGGCACTAAAGAGAACTCCAGAACCTCAGAGAAGTATTGATCTTGCTGAGATCAATTAAGATATTTGGCAAAGAACATCAGAACCTCGTGAGATTTTGATCTCTTTTCCTTCCTTTATGATGGCCAGAAAGAGTTCTGCATCCCCTTGTTTTCATTTATTACATTTTCTTGAAATGTCCAACAATGTACTTGTGCCTGCTTTCTAAAGGAGTGTATGGTTCAGGAGAAAGATATGTGACATTTAAGAGCCGATATTAGTATTGAAAGTTGAAAGATGTCTATACAGGTAGTTCTCAATATACAACCACCATTGGAACCAGAATTTCCATTTGTAAGCAAGGCGGCTGTCAAGTGAATCATGCCCAGTTTTATGATCTTTTTTGTCGTGGTTGTTAATCACTGTAGTTGTTCAGCAAATTTGGCTTCCCTAATTGACTTTTTGCTATGGCAAATCTAGACAGTATACTAAAAAGCAGAGACATCACCCTGCCAACAAAAGTACGTAGAGTCAAGGCCATGGTTTTCCCAGTTGCAATGTATGGCTGTGAAAGTTGGACCTTAAGAAAGGCTGAGCGCCAAAGAATTGAGGCCTTTGAACTATGGTGCTGGAGAAAACTCCTGCGGGTCCCCTGGACTGCAAGGTGATCAAACCGGTCAGTCCTAGAGGAGATCAACCATGACTGCTCTTTAGAAGGCCAGATCCTGAAGTTGAAACTCAAGTACTTTGGCCACCTAATGAGAAGGAAGGACTCACTGGAGAATAGCCTGATGCTGGGAAAGATGGAGGGCAATAGAAGAAGGGGACGACAGAGAACGAGGTGGCTGGATGGAGTCACTGAAGCAGTAGGCGTGAGCTTAAATGGACTCCAGAAGATGGTAGAGGACAGGAAGGCCTGGAGGAACATTGTCCATGGGGTCGCGATGGATTGGACACGATTTCGCAACTAACAACAACAAATTGACTTTGTTTGATGGAAGCTGACTGCAGATGTGATCATCCCAGGACCCCATAACTCCAGGATGCTGCAAGCCTTGTAAATACATGCCAGTTGCCAAGAACCCAAATTTTGATCCCTTGACTGTGGGGATACTGTAACGGTTGTAAATGCAAAAACCAGTTTTTAAGATACTTTGTTCGGTGCTGTTGTAACTTTGAACAGCTGCTAAACAAATGGACTGCCTGTAATGATATAGAACAGCTTTAACTAAACAGTGAATGGGCACTTTCCATTTTTAAAAAAAATGGAAGACTGGGGTTTCCTTTCCCTCTTGAGCTCCTGCTCCAAGGATTTACCCTCTAACTCAGGGTCACCAACCCCCTAGGCTGTGGCCCGCTACTGGACAGTGAGCTTTTTGAAACCAGGCTGTGAAAGTGGTGGGCACGTGCGCATCCCCATTTGTGGAAATGGATCTGCGTGCTCACGCTTGCCAACCACTTGCGCGGAACCATCCCCTCACACACACACACACACACACACACACACACACACACCACTGGTCCACAAAGCCTCTATCACCAATGTACATGTGGCAAATTATGACTTGTGTGAATTAGTATCATTTTCTGTTTTACATTACCTTGTTAGAAAACTACACCAATGTTCCATCAGAATGCTAGTGCATGCTTGTTCATTTGTTGATTGGTCATCTTTCTTTACAGGAAACAAAGAAGCAACATCAGGAGATAGTTTCTGTTTACAGAACACACCTGCTTTATGCTGTGCAGGTGAGAGGCTCCTTCCTTCTTGTATTTCTTTGAAGGACATCAGTTGGTTAAAGAAAGCAGTGGATTATATTTGTGGAGTTCTTGGTGCTCTGTGAACCTGGTTGGTTTTCTTTTTGCAGACATTTCGTTATCCAACTAAGTAACATCTTCAGTTTATGTAGGCAAACTTCCATCAAGATACAATTATTCTTTCTACATGAATGCCTACAACAGCAAGCCCTACAGCCCTGTTGCACTGAAGCTGTTACCTAGTTGGGTAGTGAAACATCTGCCAAGAAAACAACCAACCTCACAGAGCACCCAGGACTCTACAGTTCAATCCTGAGTTACAAATATTCTCTTGTATTGATTATATTTGCACACTATTGTTAATAGTGGATGGTATCGGAAATGGAAATCAATCGGAATAGAGCTGGAAGGGACCTTGGAGATCTTCTAGTCCAGTCCCCTGCTCAAGCAGAAGATCCTATACAATTTCAGACAAGTGGCTTTTCAGTCTTTTCTTAAAAACTTCCAGTGATGAAGCACCCACAACTTCTGAAGGCAAGCTGTTCCACTGCTTGATTGTCCTCACTGTTAGGAAGTTTCTCTTTAATTCCAGGTTGCTTTTCTCCTTTATTAGTTTCCATCCATTGTTTCTTGTCTTGCCTTCTGGTGCTTTGGAAAATAGGATGACCCCCTCAAATACTGGAACACTGCTGTCATGTCACCCGTAGCCTGTCTTTTCTCTAGATTGGCCATACCCAGTTCCTGCAGCCATTCTTCATATGATATAGTCTCCAGGCCTTTAATAATCCTAGTTGCTCTTCTGTGCACTTTTTCCAAAGTATCAACATCTTTTTTTGTAATGTGACCAAAACTGGATGCAGTATTCCAGGTGTTGTCTTACTAAAGTTTATTAATGCTAATAAATGCTTCAAGAAGACACATTGCACACAACTGTTGTATGAGAATTAATGACTTTTCTAAATTGGTCTGGCCAAATCATTGTAAATAGCTGTAATTTGACTAAAGAAATACTGTATATGCAATCATTTTAATTGGAATGATTGAGTAAAGGTTGCAATCTCAACTTGTTATATGTTTACAAAGGAGAACATTTTGACATACGTAACAGAGTGACAAAAGTTTATACTTTAGAGCATGATATTCATAATATAAAATGAATACTTGTTTTATTACAACAGTACAGTAACAATTGTAATATTATAAGACAGTAATTAAGAATTTGGCTTACTGCTCTTTGCGCAAATATTATTAATATTGTTTGCCTTTACTGTTTTTTCCTCCTCTGTAGGGCCAGATGGATGAAGATGTCCAGAAAGTGCTTAAACAGATTTTAACAATGTGTAAAAACCCATCACAAAAAAAAGGTGAAACTGTTTTTGTGGATCCCTGATGGTGTTGCTGCTGCTGCTGCAGAATTTGAAACTCACCTTAGAAAGATTTCCAAAGTGCTAATTTTGCATCTTGGACACAAATGCAGAATTCTCCAGAGATTGCAGTTTACTATAAATCAGGGATGATCAACATCTGACCTTCAGTATTAGAACGTGGTTGTGTATTTTCATGGATTATGATGAGTTGAGGCCAACTTTCACCATTTTGATTATAAGCAGCTGCACCATTTGAAATTGGAGGCAGAAATTAATTGTTCATTTCCTGGTTATTTTTAAATGGATAAAATTACCTTCTTTATATTTTTAGGCCTTCAGATGCCCAATATAATCTAGAAGCTAATGATAAGTAAGACAACTTCGCCTTGTTCAGTAAAGCCAGCTGCAGTGTTTTGTTTTTATTTATCAAGTAATTTATGGACTGCAAGAGCACTAGATTTGTGATATGTATTAAATAGGTAACATAAAATATAGCCATGTACTAAACGGGTGTGGAACCGTGACCTTTTATGACTTGTGGACTACAACTCCCAGAATTCCTCAGCCAGCATGGCTATCTCAGGAATTCTGGAAGTTGAAGTCCACAAGTCATAAAAGGGTTATGGTTCCCCACCCCTGTACTAAAACAAGTAAATACTTCTGAAATAGCTAATTGCTAAAACCTCAGTTTCATTATCAGGCAGGAAATAAACTATCTATGCAAAATTTTGCAGTTCTATTGGAAGTAGAACTTAGAAGAGGGAAAAGGGTATTTCAAATTGCAAGCAAGCGATCTGATTGAATTCATGATGTTTACAGTGAGTTATCTTATCTCACAGTTCCAAACCTCACTTTTGTAAAGAAAATAAAAATCTTCTCTATGATATATTTTTACTGGCCCTCAAATTTAGAAAAGCCTTTATAATGAAATTTGTTTGCTTATGTAATACTTTTTTGCAATAGACTTTAATAAGAATTTACGCAATTGCTTTCTTGGTTTTCTCCCTTAACCCCGCTCTGTAATAAAATTGGTGGAAGTAGTCCACTCTAGAAAACTTGTGCTGAAGTAGAATTGTCCGTGTATTTTAGATATCTTGTTGTTTTCTTTTTCAAAATGCTGTAACAATTAAAGCAGAGGAAAAAACTGTTTCCAGAAATGTTTGTCGCATTAAATTAATATAATATAGGGATGATTCTACAAATTTCAGTGGTGCCTAAAAATTATTGTGAATGATGGATAACCAATAGTATTAGAGCAGTGTTTCTCAGCCTTGGCAACTTGAAGATGCGCGCACTTCAACTCCCAGAATTTGCAAAGCTGGCTGGGGAATTCTGCGAGTTGAAGTCCACGCATCTTCAAGTTGCCAAGGTGGAGAAACATTGTATTAGAACATCATTTTGGGATAGCAGGAAGGAATATCTTTATCTTCTATTTTAAGGACATGTTTATACTGCTAATTGGTTTCTGGAATCAGTTTCAAACTAGTGTGATCAAATTCCAAACTAGTGTGAGCTTGCCAAGGATGTCAGAATATCATATAAATATAGGATTCCCAGTATTCAGCTGATGAATGGTATAACTTGCAGAATTAAATAGATTAAACCAATTTACGCTTCTAATGTAAACATGTATTTTCATGAGCACTCGTATTTCAGAAACCGACGGTAGATACCACATTTGAAAACTAGACAGTACTGATTAAAGTTTTAAAACAGAACTGTAAAATGAATAAATGCATCACTCCAGCTCTCTCCATGGGTTAAAAATAAATCCCCAAATCTAAACAATGTATATTTTCTCCAAAGCAAAGAACCATTTTGTGTCTTTATGGAATAACTTAATTATAACACAGCCTCACCCCTGTAAAGAACCTCAGTGGCCTGTAATAAATGGCAAGTAATTGTTCAGTATCTCAGGGCTATCACCTTCACCAGTCACATTGTTCTCCCATTTACTTTTCTTTTTCTTTTCTTCTTTTTTCTTTTTCTTTGTTTTTTTGTTGTTTTTTTGTGGTGGTTTTTTTTGGTACAATGGGCAGAATTTTGAACTCTTGGATCTTTTCCTTTCTCGTTCTTTTTTCTATCTTTCTCAGTATTTGAACAATTTGAGACAATATTTCTTCACACAGCACCTATTTTAATACTTCAAGGGGGGTGGGAACCTTTTGCAGCATTTACCAGCAAAACAAACAAAACATGATAACTAACAGAAGCCAATAAACACTGCCAGGTGTAACACTTGAGGAACCATTTTGTAGGTTTGCCTAACATTGTTATTTTGTTACATGTATTTATTACGATTATCCTTGTGGACGCATTGGAAATTGTATACTATAGCATAGTAATAGTCCTTTGTACATTTACAGAAGTTTCCTTATTCAACAAATAAAAAGGTTTTTTGTCCATGTTTTCATTTCTAGATCTTTTGTGTAATGCTTGATATTAAGATACTGTACTTCAGAAGAATCAAGGGGAAGTTTCTTCGAGGAACACATGGAGATATTAGGAGGATTTGCAGAGGTCCTGATCTGAATCCACAACTAGGTTTCTGCTGCCAACACAACTGATAAGCCCCAAAAGAAGAGAATGTAGAGTAGTTCAGGGTTGAACTTTGGAATCCTTGGTCATGTTCTTGCAGTCATTTCATTAGGAGCTGTGGTGGCGCAGTGGTTAGAATGCAGTATTGCAGGCAAATTCTGCTCACAGAGTCAGCAGTTCGATCTTGACCAGCTCAAGGTTCACTCAGCCTTCCATACTTCTGAGGTCGGCAAAATGAGGACCCAGATTGTTGGGGGCAATAGGCTGACTCTAAATTGCTTAAAGAGGGCTGTAAAGCACTGTAAAGCGGTATATAAATCTAAGTGCTATTGCTATTACCCAATTAGGTAACATCAGTGCAAATGAGTGTGGGGTTGCTCCCTGTTTATATACAAGAAACTCTAAGGAGTCAAGCAGAAAACAATTCCCTAATCGAACTACGGGGGGTTGGGTGTCACATTTCCACTAATACTGGCAAGGAAAGCTACTGCATATAGGGCTTAGTTTGGTAGCCAGATTGATTAGATAAATATTCTTTGAGTCAATTTGGCTCCTGGTTATTTCATAGACACATCCACGTGGTTTCCTTGTCTGTGATGTAGAAGGGCTCAGCTACTGGTGCTCTCGGAATTTGTTTTTTTATTATTATTATTTTTAAAAACTAATTTTCCAGTCTAGCCCATGGAACTGGGATCTCCTGCTCCTGTTCTATCCAACTGCAAACTAGATTCAATTCTGCTTGGCTTTCTGAGGTCTTGACCTGGTATGGCTCCAATTTCTTGGCAGTGCCCATTCTCATTTTACAATCCATCTTTGCTTATAGCTTTTATTTAAAACTGATCCCGGGGGTTAATTTGGAAAGAATTGCAGTTTTAGCTGAAAATATTATAAAATCAAAATATAAAACAATTGATCAAGCATTGTGATTTCCTATTTTCCTTGCAGTGGACTCAGGCTTTTACTTAATCATACAATTTCCTAGACAAAGTACACACACAGTTTTTTCATCTGCATTTTATTTTGAATATTAACTTCCTCCTAAAAAGGACTAAACCAAGTAATTCACAGATATAACACTAATGGGAGCAATGAAATTTCTATGGTAAAATTCAAGTGTCAGAGACGGACCAAACGTGGTGACTTCAAGGAAAACATACTGTAGTTTTTGGGGGTAACAGTATTGAAGTGGTTGGATACCATCATCTTTGGGGAGGGGGTGTTTTTTCAATTTGGCAGTCTATCCTACAGACTAGGAACTTATTAGTGTTAGTACCTGCCTCCCAATAGTAAACAAGTCTAATTTGGCTTAGCTTTTCAAGATCAGACAAGGTGTTGCATGTAGCTAGAAGACACAACTGAATTTAAGCCTATGAAATGCCTTGGTCTCACCATAGCCAAGCCATTCCCTCTGGTGATATTTCTGAAGATCTCCAAGGTTGCATTTCTGTTCCTTTCAGCATTGGCACTGCAAATACGTCAGTGTGGCTTCTGTTTCAATTTTACTATCAGTGAAATTTGACTTACCTTGGCTTGGTCTTTTTAAAGACTTGGTGAAGCTTCATTTAACTGGATCTTTTAAAGCATGGCTTAGACACATTCTGATTAATCTGCTGTCACTGTATTGTATATGTAATTACATAGTACAGCATGACTCTTACAGCTGCAAAATGCTCTAAAAATAAGAGGCAGGTGGGGCATGACTCTTATAGCTGCAAAATGATCTAAAAATAAGAGGCAGGTGGGTCAGCTTGCTCTGCCTGAAGCCTATAGGCCTGCCAAGATGGTGAGTAATGGAAGAAATTGCATTGGGTTGTCTATAAGGAAACAGCATTTATTCTGCAAGACTGATTCAATAAGCTGTCATCCTAAAAGGCAATATTGATCAATTGCAAAAGGGGGAAATATGACCTTTTCTTCCTGAAGGCAAATATAGAAGCAGGAGAACAAAACTCATTCTGTCAACTTGACAAGTTGCCCTTAGTAACCTGGAAGCTAATATTAGTTATTAATTAATTAAGTAATTAATTAATGATTTATTAATTTTTCACAGTAGCCATACTAGTTTGGGGAACTTTTAACTTGACTTTTCATTCTTCAAAAATAAAAACACAACACTAGGTCTGCAATATGGATGAGATGGTGTGTGGGGGGGGAGGGGGGAATTGGGGTCATACACTAGTTTGGTACAAAAGCAAGTATCAAATGCAAGGAACCAATGTGCAGATAATAAAGAGAATGGTTTTTCTTAAACCCAGGGCCCTCCAGATCAGTGTTTCTCAACCTTGCTGTCTGGGGAATTCTTGAAGTTCACACAACCTCAAAGTTGCCAAGTTTGAAAAACACTGCTCCAGATGTTCTGGTTTGTCCCTTCCCAGAATCCACTGTATACATGAAGAATGCTGGAATGGAACAGCTGGAATCCCAGCAATAATCTACCCTGGGTTGTCCTCAGCTTTTAAGTCACTCAGATGTCCACCCTCCAATTTCTATCTAATCCAC